TCTTAAGTACAAAGAAATATATGCCTCCTCATTTGTTTAGCAAAATATATTTAAAAATGTCACGGCACAGCGAAGCAATTTTTAACATCTAAAATACTAAAGTACCCTTTTTAACCGATCACCGAATTTGCAATCGCTGAACAACAAGTAAATTTTTAAAAATGTCATAGTGGCGTGACTGAAGTCTAAGTGGGAGCATGACACAAATCTACTACTACTACAGAACAATGCACGCAAACCTTCGCCACATCCAACATAGAAAAGCTTGTTTTTAATTGATAAAAGGAATTTCCCTATAACCACACTGTTTTCTCATTTATGCTCCTTCGAAGAAAACCACAAACTGAACCGAGATGTGTTTTATTTAATCAGCCAATACGCAGATGGATTAAACTCGGCATCTCCTAAACTTCCTCGATGGCCTCCTAAGAGATCATGGTTTTCATGGTGGTTAACGCGGTTGACATCTTCCCGTTCAGGCACAGAGAGAAGCCTGCTTTTTGTGGTTTCTAAAAGAAGCATCTCCTCGAGACCACATCTTATACTATTATACAGACAAGAACCACGCCCTAGGGTTTGACTACTTTCTCCCGTCTCCAAAACCATGCGCTAAGTTGTTCCTAACCCAAGTCGTCATTTGCTTCAGTTAACGGCACACATCCTTACGGAGCTGGCGAACAGCCCTCTGCAGAAACACGTAAGAAGACCGACACATGAACTATTTCACGTTTTATTTAAATGGGCACTACATTTCAGGTTGGGGAGGGGCTTATTCCTGCGCCTGTTCAACCGACTCTGAAGACTGTTCAGACTGCGGACTGATTGTCTGCTTGGAGGCGGCGCTGGACACATCAGCGGACTGCTCAACAGACACGGCCTGCTGCTCCTGCTCCGGTGACGACGACTTGGACTTCTGGACCTTGGAGTCCACGGCGGAGTCCACCTGAGCCTGCTGCATGGGCTGCTGCTTCTTTTCTAAAAAGGGATGGTTCGCGGAACGTAAGGTTTTGGTGAAATAACCGGAGTGATATATTGGATTAAATATAATCAGATCCTAAATAT